GCTGGTAAAGTGCTCTGCTGTGTACACATGATGATCTGAAGTTGGATCCCAAATAGCTACATAAAAACCAGGAGCCTGGAATTCCAGCACATCAGGGAGGGGTTGGGGCAGGGCACACAAAGATCCCTGGAGTTCACTGGCCAGTGAGGGACCTTGGCCACAAAAAAAAAAAGTGGAGAAGTGATTTAAGAATACATTTTATGTCAGCCTCTGGTTTTCATATGCATATGTGTGCACCTGGAACTGACAGGCCAGGTGAGTCACCTGCAGGTACACTGGCAGGGCAGCCTTATCATGCTGGAATTCCCTGAGCACTAAGTACAGCTCTCAGAGCTCCACACACATTCAGTACATTTTTGGTGGATGAGCAATCCTTAACTGGAACACTCTCACTGCCTTGTATCCACTACGGTGCTAGGGCAAGTTACATAAAACCCTGCAGTAATCTTTCAAGTTCTGTTCCAAGCACAGCCACCATCAAGCATTATAAGCTGGCCATTGAGGACCTGCCACAAACTCATTCGGCAGAGCTGTCGCCGAATGTTCAGAAGTGTTCCAAGTATTTTAAAGCAATGCTGGTAACTGTATATGAATTACTTAGATGCAAAAATATTCTCCCTTGATTACGCAGGAGGTGCTCTCAGCAAGCACAAGTGCCGTTTGGTTAGTGTCCATCCAGGCTTACGACCTAAGAGCAGATGGAGACAGCCAGTCTTTTGTGGCTGCAGTGGCTTAGGACCAGGTTTAGGACCAGAGGGTGGCTCCTGCCTTTGGATGACATTCCTCCATTCAATATGGCCTGTTTCTGAGAACGCGATGAGTAAGCATGTAGGGAACAGGGCTCCACGTACATTGAGGCCACTGAGCCCAGGGGATAGCCCTGTAGTCTGTGCAGGTGGACATCATTTTCAGCTCCTGAGGCCACCTGACACCTACTACAGTACAGTCTGCACAAACTGAGCTTAGGGTAGCCAGACTTCAAAACCCAATCTGCTGAAGAACCAATCTGGAGGTTTTCTAGGATCAGAAGTGAGCACAAAGCTGGCTCATGGGGACGAATGTCACTTCATCTGAACAGCTTTAATCCTGGTATGACACTAACCACTCTAACACACCAAGCAATGACAGTGCTTGATCGGTGTCAGTTTTGGATTCTCCTGTTTCTACCTCCCATTCACTGAAGGAACACCGGGTTTACAGAGTACATTCTACCGTACAGCTTTGCATGGTTCTAGGGACTGAACTCAGTTCTTAATGCACTCAGAGCAAATGCTTTTACCCATTAAGCCCCAGAGAGTAGGTTTCTGATGAGCCCTCAAATGCAGGTACAGGTGTTCATTTACTGGCCTGAACTCTCCAGTCTTGTTAGTTACACTCAACTAGAGGAAAGGAAGCGAAATTCAAACTGACAGGGGAAACTGAAACAATATTAATCAAAAATCCAAAAGAAGGGGGCTAGAGACATGGCTCAGAAGGGTGCTTCCTGTTCTCTCAGGACCAGAGTTATTCCAGCTCCCACTGCAACTCACAACTATCTGCAATTCCAGTTCTATAGTGATATTTTATTGATGTTTTAATAAATAAAGCTTGCCTAAAGATTAGAAGGGCAAAGCTAAGCCACTAGAGCTTTCTAGTTTTCTGGTTGAACCCCCATATCTGACTCTGGGCTTTTATTATTCGTGCTACATAGTTCTAGGGAATCCACTTTCCCTCAAGGCCTCCATGGGCACCGAGCACACATGCAGTGCACACAGACATAAACAAAACACCCAGAGATGTAAAATAAAATTGGGGGGAGGGTCCAAAAAAGGGTAGAAAGAAATTTCCAAAGACTATACTAACTAGGATAAGCATATAGACCACATGGTCCAGATTAGCATTGCAGGTTAGCAATCATTTAAGCAGAGAAGAATGAATGAGGTACACCTGGCGAAAGAAGTTAAGTCCTAACTACAGGAAAGTCACTTTGACCAGATTATTATTATAGTGCTTTACTGTTATAAATGCTTTGTTTGGGGTGCGGGAGTTGAGACAGGGTTTCTCTGTATAATAGCACTAGCTGTCCTGGAACTAGCTCTGTAGACCAGGCTAGCCTAGAACTCTGACTGCTTCTGCCTCCCAAGTGCTGGGATTAAAGGTGTGCGCCACCACAACACGGCTGTTATCAATGCTTTTAGTCTTCAAGAGAACCCTTTCACAATGACAAACAGGTTAAGTTTTTTAAGACACATCAAGTCTGTATCTATATCTCTCACATAAGGCATCAAGAAGTATAAAGGAAAACCACTAGAATTATCAGGAGAAATCAAGAAAATGCATAACCAGCATGCAAGGTTCTTTTAACTATTATGTTGTAGTTTTGTGTGTGTGGTATGTGCATGTGTGTGTACCTAGATGTAAATAGACCAGAGGAGGATATCAGGAGCCCTCCTCTATTGCTGTATACCTTATTTCTATGAAACAGGGTCTCTCAATGAACCTGGAGCTTGACATTTCTTATCTAGTCTGGTAGCCTGAGAGCCACAGGATCCTTATGTCTCTGTCCTCCTATAGAGATGGCGTTAAAGACATGGAACACCAGATTGGTTGTACTTTTATGTTGGCACAGGGGATTTGAAGTCAGGTTTTCATGCTTGGACAGCAAATGTTCTTATCTACTAAGCTATCTCCCCAGGTCCTGGGGCAGTAGACTTTTAATATACCTCTTTCAACAATGTTAGAACACTTCACAACCCTCACCCTAAATTGAGGATATAGATTTGAACAAAGGTATAGACTAACTCAAAAGCTCATAAAACACACATGAAATAATGTTAGAATACTGACTGGTGTTTGTGTGTTTATGAATTCGTGCATGCATGTGCTATCATATATAGAGAGAGACAAAAAACAAAAGGCAAGGGACTGGAAGATGGCTCAGAGTTAAGAGCACTGCCTGCTCTTCCAGAGGTCCTAGAGTAAAGATGAATGCAACTTAGAAACTAGCTGCAGTTGGCTGGGTGGTAGTGGTGTGCATTTTTCTAATCCCAGTACTTGGGAAACAGAGGTAGGCGGATCTTTGTGAGTTCAAGGCCAGCCTGGTCTACAGAGTGAGTTCCAGGACAGCCAGTACTGTTACACAGAAAAACCCTGTCTCAAAACAAGCCCCCACCTCCCCCAACACAAAGACAGCTTTGGCATCAACTGACCCAATGTTTAAACAGTAAAGCAGAAAAACACCTTTGCGGCTATAAATCAAGCCATAGGGATCTAGGGTCACACTATGAAGGAATCCAACTAAAGCTAATATCAAACTTATTAACTTCTTTGATTAACTGATTAATTCCTTGGGATTTAACCACTTTTGCCAAGGATAAAAATATCTGAAGTATATTTAGGAGTTAAAGCTAAATGCACAGCATAGTCTGCTTTCTTTTTTAGCAGCAGAATGTTATCTGTGTGAACTGGAATTTACTTTGGGGCACTCCCACTTCTCTGTACACAGTCAAGGAAGTTTTAGTGTTCTGAAAACTGAGAAATCAAATAAAATCTGGCAAATTAAATTACATTCTTACCATTCATTTTTGAAAATAACAAATTATTATGTGTTAAAAATAAGCTTAAAAGATGAAGTATTCTGCAATGGGGGAAAGATGTTTATTCAAAATTTTCACATAGAAATTGCTATTAAAAGTATTCATACACCTGCATGAAGAATAATCTTTCCAACTATCAATATCCATAGGTTACATGCCTAGAAAAAAAATGCCCTTTTTTGGAGGGAGTGTCTCACACAGCTCCAGCTGACCTCAAATTCATTCTGTAGCTGAGGATGACCTTGAATCCTGATCAATGAATTTGACAGTATAAATGCATACATTACTGTTTTTAAAATCTGAAAGGGGCTAGAGAGATGGCTTAGTAGATCAAGTGTGAAGACCAGAGTTTGGATCCCCACTACCCATATGAATGCTGAGCAGGTGTGGCAGCCTCCCTGAAATTCCAGTGTGTGGAAGGTTGGAGCAAAATGGCCAGCCAGATTAGCCCTATGTGTGATGTGGGATTTCCCTCTGTATGCTATGAATATGTTTTATTACTATTGGTTATTAAAGAAGATGTTTTGACCAATGGCTTAGTAAAGTCAGGTGGGAAATCCGAACAGAGACTTAGAGAGAAAGCAGGTAGAATCGGAGAGATGCTATGTAGCTGCCAGAGACAGACGCCCATCCTTACCAATAAGCCACAGCCTCGTGCTGATACACAAACAAATAGAAATGGGTTAATTTAAGATATAAGAGCTAGAAATATGAATGAACCATTAGCCAAACAGTATTGTAATTAATATAGTTTCTGTGTGATTATTCGGGCCTGTTTGGTCAGGAAATGACAAGTAGTCTCCAACTACATATGTGAGCACTCAGGGTTCAGCAAAAGACTTTGCCTTCATGACTAATATTCTAGAGAGTGACCGAAGAAGACCACTGACATCAACTTCAGGTCTCCATGTGCAACTGCACACATGCCCCACACATGCAAATATGCATACACATACACACAAATATATAAGCAAAAAAGAATCTGAATGACTAGTGGTATTCTGTTGGTAAGAGTTTTCATGGGTTACCCTGATGGGTGAAAAATCAATTTCAAAACGCCTGGCTGGTGTGAGGACCATGGGCCCTCAGGAAGGGTATGGAGGATCCATGTTCTAGCTCGCCCATATAGTGCTACCTAGTATATGCTTAAACTCCATGACTTTTCAGTCATATGTACAATACTGACAAGTATTAAAAGCTTAATCAGAGCCTGGAGAATTCAACATGGTAGTAACAGTAAACACCTCAAGTTGGGGTTGGGTACACTGAACTCTAGAAAGGTAACAAAGGTGACGAGCTAACACATCACAAAGTACTTCAATGGGTAGACATTAGTGCCCCATCCACCATTTCTGGGTGGAAAAGAAAATAAAAACTGCAAACAACCCTTGAACACTGCAACTGGAATTTCTACTAAAAACTTACCAGGTCGCAGAACTCAAACACCAGAAGGTAGGGAATTGCTTCCACGCACTGCCCCACACACTGAAGGACATTCGGATGCTGAAGAATACTGATAAAAATAAAAGCCACAGCACTGTTCATCAAGAAATATGCTAGTGCTTCGCATTTTAACATCACAATGATTTCAATTACAGCATGACAAACTCAAAAGGCCACATCACAACCGAGGATAGTGACACAAGCCTTTAAATTCTAGCATTTAGGAGTTAAAGTTTAAGGCCAGTCTGGTTTACAAAGCAAGTTCTAGGCCAGCAAGTAAGTAACTACAGCAAGTAACTACACAGTAAGATGCTCTCTCAGGGCCTCCTGCATGCTGGGCAAGCACTCTTCCACTGAACCTCACTTCTTGCCCAAAGTGACTCTTGCATGTTGATCCTGTATCTTGCAACCTTGGTGAATTTATTATTTTTTCTAGATTTTTTTTCTAGTAGATTCCTTGGGATTTTCTACATAAACTTGTATTTCCCTATCATATCAAGTGTGCAGCACATGTTCAGTGAAGTGTCTGTGTGATGACTGCCTTGAAATCCATGACAGACAGCTCAAGCATCCCAGTGCTATTGCCTTTTCTTTCTTTTTTCTTTTTCATGACAAGGTTTCTTTGTGTATACCTGGCTGTCCTGGAACTCACTCTGTAGACCAGGCTGGCCTTGAACTCACAGAGATCCACCTGCCTCTGCCTCCCAAATGCTGGGATTAAAGGTGTGCACAACTGCCGCAGGTGCAGGCTTATTGTCTTTTCTTATTCAAGCAAAGTGATTGAACAGTTCTTAACTGACTATTGGGCACTGGTGGGTTTAATGAGACAGGATTTTCTGGCAGAAGTCTCAAAGTAGTTTTAAAAATTTAATTTTCAGAATCGCAGCCTGCTTATAGAACATATACAAAGGCTTACTTACTAATAAGGCTCTCCATTTTTCAGGAAAGTATCTTGTTCCTTTGGGCTTGCACTTGCTTTTAACTCCTTCACTATGACTCTTGCTACGCTGGTGCCCGTGTAAGTCTCTCCCAGGAGGACCTAAAAGCAAACAATGATTTTCCTTGTCACTTCTACCAAAATGAGAAAGAAATACGCGTTACTGAGTAGGAAATACGAAGGAAACAAGTAACAGTTAAATGCCCTGTTACCTTGCACACCAACTGACAAAGCTTAGGAAACTCAAACCCTTATCTGGGTATGTTAGTGTATGCATGGAACCCCACACTGTGGAGGCTGGTAAAGGAAGCTACAGCATTCATAAAAGGCTAGGCTGGGCTATACAGAGACATCCTGCTGAAAGGACAGAAAGGGGGAAAAAAGGGAGAAAGGGAAGGAAACAGAAAAAAGGGGGGGGGAGGAAGAAAAGAAAGGAAGGGAGGACTGTAACAGAGGGGCCACTTTAAAGCATTCACCAGGTATTTAAACATTAATGTTATTTATCTTTTGTTTTCTTGGAAATGCCTTTTTCATGGAAATGAAAACACAACAGCCCCAGCTCTCCTCACGAGCACTTCAGGTGCACTGTTACTGTCTACACAAGGTGGTCGGGTGACAAACAGCTAACAAGCCATTATCACAAGACACTTAAAAACCCATGGTATTCTGATGACATTGACATCAGGCCTTTGACTTGTCACAAAACTTCAGCCAAACCACAGAAAAATACCACTCCCCTGAATTAGAAGGTGAAATGAACGCCCTCCTAAGAACTTGCTACAAGGAAAAAGTTACATATAGGGCAGCACAAAACATTTCCAAACACAGCTTATCTCGGAGTGATGGATAGTAAAGGATTATTTAACTAGAAAATGATCAAGACTGACTGACTTCCTTTTGAAACAGTTTCTGAAGAGATGAATCAGGTGGTAAAGTGTTTGTTCTATAAGCACGAGGACCTAGTTCAATCCTCAAAAACCCACCTAAAGAAGCCAGGTGTGGAGGGTGCACCTGTGTAATCAATCATAGGCCTGAGAATGCAGCGACGGGAAGCTCCCTGGAGTTTACAGGCAGCCAGTCTAGCTTAATATAGCCTAATTGATGAGCTCCAGGTACAGTGAAAGACTCTGCCTCAAAAAATAAAGTGGACAGCGACTGAGAAATCAATGTTAACCTTTGGTCTCCATGCATGCATAGGAAATATATACCATACATAGAGAGAAAAAAGAGAGACAGACTGTCACTAAGTCAAAAAGGCAACCTACTGACTGGGAGAAGATCTTCACCAACCCTGCAACAAAGGTCTGATCTCCAAAATATATAAAGAACTCAAGAAACTAGACTTTAAAATGCTAATTAACCCAATTAAAAAATGGGGCACTGAACTGAACAGCGAATTCTTAACAGAAGAAGTTCAAATGGCCAAAAGATACTTAAGGTCATGCTCAACCTCCTTAGCAATCAGGGAAATGCAAATCAAAACATCTTTGAGATATCATCTTACACCTGTCAGAATGGCTAAAATCAAAAACACCAATGATAGCCTTTGCTGGAGAGGCTGTGGAGAAAGGGGTACACTCATCCTTGCTGGTGGGAATGCAAACTTGTGCAATCACTATGGAAATCAGTGTGGCGGTTTCTCAGGAAATTTGGGATCAACCTACCCCTGGACCCAGCAATACCACTCTTGGCAATATACCCAAGAGATGCCCTATCATATGACAAAAGCATTTGTTCAACTATGTTCATAGCAGCATTATTTGTAATAGCCAGAACCTGGAAACAACCTAGATGTCCTTCAATGGAAGAATAGATGAAGAAAGTGTGGAATATATACACATTAGAGTACTACTCTGCCATAAAAAACAATGACTTCTCGAATTTTGCATGCAAATGGATGGAAATAGAAAACACTATCCTGAGTGAGGTAACCCAGACCCAAAAAGAGGATCATGGGATGTACTCACTCATAATTGGTTTCTAGCCATAAATAAAGGTCACTGAGTCTATAATTTGTGATCCTAAAGAAGCTAAATAAGAAGGTGAACCCAAAGAAAAACATATAGTTATTATCCCTGCTATGGGAAATAGACAAGATTGCTGGGCAAAAAATTGGGATCTTGGGGGTAGGGTGGGATGGGGGTAAAGGGAGAAGGGGAGAGAAAAGTGAGAAGGGGAGGATGGCGGGAACTTGGGGAAACGGGATGATTGGGGATAAAACAAGGTTGGATAGAGGAGCAGGGAATCACATAACTTAATTAAGGGAACCACCTTAGGGTTGGTAAGAGACTTGAACCTAGAGTGGCTCCCAGGTGCCCAGGGCAATGTCCCCAGTTAGTTCCTTGGGCAGCTGATGATAGGGAACCTGAAATGACCCTATCCTATAGCCATATTGATGAATATCTTGCATATCACCATAGAACCTTCATCTAGCGATGGATAGAGATAGAGACAGAGACCCACACTGGAGCATCGGACTAAGCTCCCAAAGTCCCAGTGAGGAGCAGAAGGAGGGAGAACATGAGCATGGAAGTCAGGACCACGAGAGGTTCACCCACCCACTGAGACAGTGGGGCTGATCTATTGGGAGCTCACCAAGGCCAGCTGGACTGTGACTGAAAAAGCATGGGATAAAACCGGACTCTCTGAACATGGCGGACAATAGGGCTGATGAGAAGCCAAGGACAATGGCATGGGGTTTTGTTCCTACTTCATGTTCTGGCTTTGTGGGAGCCTAGCCAGTTTGGATGTTCATCTTCCTAGACCTGGACGGAGGGGGAAGGACCTTGGACTTTCCACAGGGCAGGGACTGGAGAGGAAGGGGGAGAAGAGTGGGGGGGAGGGGGAGAGGGGCAGGAGGAGGGGGAGGGAAATGGGAGGCTGGGAGGAGGCAGAAATTTTTTTTCAATAAAAAAATTAAATTAAATTAAAAAAAAGAGACAGACAGACAGAAAGATCATTTAGACATTTGTATAAGGTAAATTAATTTTAATGCCAGAGATAAGAAAAAAGACCTCAACAAAATTAAGTAGCTTTACCAAGATTCTAAGGGCAGAACTTTGAAGAGAACAGTAAATTCTGAATGTCAGCTAAATCACAGTCTTTGCTAATTAACCAACCTGATATATACAATAAGCATCACTTCCACCAAGCGGAGGAACAATGGTGGGTATTACATCTGTCTGACTCATTTTTGTTTCTGTCACTGTTGGCATTCAGTGTCTGCAAAGACCAGACAACCTCTCCATACCTTTAAAATTTATTTAATGTATGTGGGAGTGAGGAGTACAAGCACACTCACATGCACACATACATAGGTATACATACCACAGCACTTGAGAGGTCGGAGAACAACCTGTAGTCAGCTTTCTCCTACCATGTAGGTTCCAGGAACTAAATACAGATCATGAGGTTCAGTGGCAAGCATTCTTGCCTGCTGAGCCAAAGCACTGGATTTCTTTTTTTAACTTGTATGTTTGTGAATGTACATGTGGAGTGTGCGGGTTGCATGTGTCTGGAGATGAGCAGAGGCCAGAGGAGGGTGTTCTCTATCCTCTCCACCTTACTTCTTCAAGGCAAGATCTACCCCTGAACCTAGAGCTAGCATTTTTTGGGTAGGATGGCAGCCAGAGAATCCTGGAGGTACAGGTGTGCACAGGACCATGTCTAGTATGTCGTGTGGGTGCTGGGATTTGAATTCAGGTCCTCATGCTTGTGCTTGGTAAGAGCAAGCACTCTTACCAGCTGAAGCACTCCTCCAACAGACCTTCCCATCCTCATCTTACTTGCAAACATGGTTCCTATACTCCAAGCCACTACTCCTACAGATCCAGACCTTGCTAGTAAATACCTTACATTCCAAACCCTAAATTTCGGCCTCCACTTCCCCACAAGTCTCTTTATCTCAAACTTATCTCAGCAATCTAACTCTACCTAGTGGAGCCAACTGCCTTGCAAATTCACTAGCCTCCCATCTCCCCCTTGTCCCTTTTTCCTCTCTAAAATACACCAACTTAGTCAGACTTCGATGCCTGCTAAGTTCAACTACTATAAAACATATCAAAAGGAGAGATGATGACTGCTGCCATTCTAAATGTTTAGGGTTTCTGAGCACCCTACCCCCTAAAATGTGAACTGTATAATCAAAGAGTTAAAGAAAATAAGGAGCACATTACCTTTCCAAACCAGCCACTTCCAATTTCTTGTATATAGTTTAGACTGTGTCGGGCAACTTGAGACTTGAAACCTTCTGGTGGAAAAAAAAATAAAAATATAAGCATCTAGGACGGTCAGGAAGAATCATGGTGGTGCAGGTTTCTGACTCCAGACCTTGGGAAAACTGAGGCAGGAGGATCATGAGTGTGAAAGCAGCCTGGGCTCCATGATGAAACCTTTTCTCAAAGCAACATAAATAAATACCTACATACATATAGACACACAGATACATGTACACAGAGACACACACAGACATACACACATGTATGTAACTAAAATAAAATAAAACAAGTAAGGGTTGGAGAAATGGCTCAGTGGTTAAGAGAGTTTACTGCTCTTTCTTAGGACCCAAGTTTGATTCCTAGCACTCACATCAAGTTGCTCCCAATCACCTGTAACTCCATCTCCACGGGATATGATGCTCTCATCTGGAACTGTAGCACTCCATACAGGACACACACACAAAATAATGAAAATAAATCTTTACAATAAATGTCAAATACATAACCTACAAACTAAAAAATACTGGCATAAATTTAATATTTGTGCTAATAGTGTAAAAACAAATACATTAGCAACTTTTTCAGAGCCTCAAATTTAATGTTGATAACTTATTTTTTATATCTTATTTTTTAACACTTATATTATACTGTTGGTTTGGTTTTGTTTTCTTTTTCTTAATACAGTAACTCTGTCATGGCGACACTATCAAGCAGACCAATATAGACATAAGGGGAATCCCAGAAGGAAAAAAAAAAAGACAAAGGTAGAAAATGGCCTGCTACTGCTACAGGACATGTATCTCCATATCCAAAATGTTCAGCAAACTCCAGTAACACCAGCCTTAGAGACCACACCAAGACCCTAACAATCAAACTGTAAAGAGCCAGAGAATCCTGGAGGGCAGAAATAACTCACTGTGTATACGGGATCCTAAATAAAACTAAGAGCCAATAGTCATCAGAAATGGAGGACAGAAGGAAGTGGGCTCCCACAATAAAGCGCTGGGAGAAAAAGACTAAGAATGCTACTATATCTGGCAAAACCCCATTTCAAAAACGAAGACCTCTCAGATGAGCAGTGCTAGAGTTTGCTACCAACACGAATGCCCTGCAATAAATAAATGCTAATGGAAGCCCTCCAGTGTGTGATGGAACGATAATGAGCAGAAACTCAGAACTATGAAAGGTGGTGGCGCACGCCTTTAATCTCAGCACTTGGAAGGCAGAGGCAGGCAGATCTCTGAGTTAGAGGCCAGCATGGTCTACAGAGTGAGTTTCAGGACTGTTACACAAAAAACCCTGTCTCAGGAGAAAAAAAAGAAAGAAAAGAAACTCAGAACATTATGAAGAATATAGGTCCCCACAAGCACAACTGAAGAGTTAAGTACAAAAGTACCACTGCATTACTGAAACACAGTTCCTCTTTATTTCTGTAGACCAGACTGGCCTCGTACTCAGATCCACTTGCTTCTGTCTCTTGAGTACTGGGATTAAAGGTGTATGCCACCACCACCTGGATTTAATTCTTATATGACTTAAAACATGAATGCTTTAAAAAGTTATAAATGTATATTAACAGACATAAAATGTATAAAGATGTAATGTGTGACAAATTTAACTTGTTTTTAAGACAGGGTCTCATGTACCTTAGGCTGGCCTTCAAGTCTGTAGCCAAGGATGGCCCTTGGATTCATTCTTCTACCTCTACCTCCTGAGCGCTGAGATTATAGGCATGCATGACTACATCAGTTTTATAGTTTATGAGGTGATGGGGATTAAACCTAGGTCCTCACACATGCTAGGCAAGCACTCTACCAACTGAGCCACCTTCCCAGTCCGATTTGTGAAACTGCCATCAATTAAAGCCAAATTTTTATAAATGTACAATGTTAATTGTTGTCTTCATTGCAATCATCAATATTAAAAAAATAAAACAAAAGCAAAGAGAGGGTCTGAAGGGATGGCTCAGTGCTTAAAACTGTTTGCTGCTCTTCTGGATCTGGGTTCTACTCCACCCACATGATGGCTCCAGTTCTAAGGGATCGATTCTTCTGTCCTCCAATGGCACCTGCACTCACATGCACATGCCCATATGCAAACATGCACATAAACAAAATTAAAATCATAAAGAGAAATCTTTTTCTAAAAGAAAAAAATGTTAATGTTAAGATTTAAAAAGCAATCCAAACAAATGTTTAAAGAAGTGATCTTCTTTAAAATGGGTGTCAAGGTTGACAAGATGGCTCACTAGGTAAAGGTACCTACTTGCCAAACCTAATGACTTAAATTTGATCCCTGGATCCCATATGGTAGAAGCAATGAAAAAATTCCCATGAGCTGTCCTCAGACCTCCACATATGCACCATGCCATCCACATACATACACTAAATAAATACATACATAAATGTAATGTTGGTGCCATGGCTGGGCTGGAGAGACAGCTCAGCAGTTAAAAGCACTTGCTACTCTTCCAGAGGACTCAGATTTGGTTTATATTTATTTATTTATTATTTGTGTGTGTACACACCTGCTTGTTTGTATGTGTACCAGCAGATCTTCTGGAATTGGAGTTACAGGCAGTTGTGAGCTTTCCAACATGGGTACTGGGAGCCAGACCTGAGCAAGAGAGCTCAGCGATTAAGAGCACCCACAGAAGACTCAGGTTTGGCTCCCAGCATGGTGGCTCACAACAGTTCTTAACTCCAGTTCCAGGGGAGCCAGCACCTTCTTCTGGATACCATGGGCGCTAGGCACCCATGCAGTGCACATACACACATGTAGGCAAAACACCCATACACATAGTTAAAAATAACAAAAAAATCTTTTTTAAAAAAAAATGTTAAGGTGCCACTGCAATTCAATGGTGGAAAAAGGAGCAATTCAGACACTGTGGCTAGATAACCATGTGTTATTAATTAAACTCTAAAATCTTATCCTTAGGTTTGGGAACTAGATTAGTCAGCAGAGTTCTTGCTTAGTCTACTGAAAGCTGCGGGCTCCAACCGCATAAAATCAGGTATGGTGGGACACACCTGTAATCCTAGCACTTGGGGGGTGGGGTGGGGACAGGATGACCAAGAGTTCAAGATCATCTTTGACTACAAGAGTTGTAGGGCTACAGGAGACCACAGATAGCTAAAAAAAAAAATAAAATAAACATAATAAAAAATGCCTTTCTCTATACTATAGAAAAATTATATATACAAATTATATAATTTAAAAATTAAATATAAATTACATATAAAAAATTAACTCAAAACTGATCAGAGGGGCCAGCATAATGACTCGTGGTGAAAGATGCCTGCCAACAAGACTAACTACCAGAGTTGAATGCCCAGAACCTGCATAAGTGAGCAAGCTAGCTCTAAATAACTAAATAAATAAGGTGGAGAGCAATAGAGGAAGACACCCAACATCAACCTCTGGCCTCATTACCCACAGGCATGCACGAACTAGCGCTCTCTCTTCTCTTCTCTTCTCTTCTCTTCTCTTCTCTTCTCTCTCTCTCTCTCTCTCTCTCTCTGTGTGTGTGTGTGTTTCTCTCTCAAAATAAAACCAAACAACTTAAATGTAAAGTAGATAAAACCAGGAGCCATGTTCATCAGAGTCTTTTTCTTGTATTTGTCGGGATTTTTTAATGAAACACTTTGATATCCCTTACTGTAATTTATTTTAGTGGCTACCATGGAGATTATAGTTAGCATATTAAATCTGTAACACTCTAATATAATAGGAATTCACACTATGTTAGTTTAACAATAACATAAAAATCCCCTCCTGACTACCAGGAATATACAACTCTTGAAGAAGAATAAGCTGGCAACATCCATCAAAGGTGTAAGCACAGATACTGACTTAATTCCAGTAGTGAGGAATTTTTTTTTTAAGATTTTATTTATTATGTATACAACAGTCTGCCTCCCTGTATGCCAGAAGAGGGTGCCAGATCTCATTACAGATGGTTTTGAACCACCATGTGGTTGCTGGGAATTGAACTCAGGACCTCTGGAAGAATAGTCAGTGCTCTTAACCGCTGAGCCATCTCTCCAGCCCAAGGAGGAATTGTTAAACTTTATGTGTTTGCTTGTTCACTGTAAGGTGAGTGGTAGGTTTGTACAGACCACAGCAAGCACGCAGGGGTCAGAGGACAATGAATATGAGTTGGTCCCAAGGGTTGAACTCATGTTGTTCATCAAGCTTTGCAGCAAGCACCTTTACATACTGAGCCATCTTGCCTACCCACCTACTTACTCTTTTTTTCTTTAAAATATTTATTTATTATGTATACAATATTCTTTCTGTGTGTATGTCTGTAGGCCAGAAGAGGCACCAGATCTCATTACAGATGGTTGTGAGCCACCATATGGTTGCCAGGAACTGAACTCAGGACCTATGGAAGAGCAGGCAATGCTCTTAACCACTGAGCTATCTCCCCAGCCCCCCTATTCACTCTCTAGTTATGTGTCTATCGGGTTGCCCTTAGAATCCAGGGATATCAGATGTCCTGGATCCAAAATTACAGGCAGTTGTAAGTCACCCAACATAGGTGCGAGGAACCAAGTTCAGGTCCTCTGCAAGAATAGCAGATGTTCTTAACCACTGAGCTATCTCTTTGGCCACCCACAAGATTTTTTTAATAGTTTGAGATTAAAAACAACAAAAATAACTACCAATCGGAGACTGGCTAGATAAACTATGCTAAGAGTATACAAAAATGCAAGTACTACAAACTATAAGCAAGAATAAATAAGATGTTTTTATTGATAAGGAAAGCTCTTCAGGGTATATTGGTGTGAGGGTTGATCTTCACTGTCAAACTGACCAGCTTTGGAATCACCTGGGAGACACGTGCCTAGATATGTATCTGACGCATTTCCAGAAAGGTTAAATTGAGGAGAGAAAACTCTTATTATGGGCTGGAGTCGCTGACTGAATCAAAAGGGAAAGGGAGCCGAGCTCCAGCATTTATCACTGTTTCCTAATTTGGGACACAGTGTGAGCAGCTACCGCCTCACTCCTGATGCTGGACCTT